CAATGAGGAGTGCAGAATTTAAACTTATTTACAGAATTTTATGAGTGTAAACTGGCTATATGTGGCCTATTTTTAAATGAGACATGTTGAAGAAAAGTTAAATTTTCAGTTGGAACCTAAAGTCTCACATGATTAGTTCAAGATCTGTTAATTCTCTTTGTTTTTTACAGTTTCTGTGTTTGATAAATGGGGAAAGTTTGACTTTTTTTAAACAATATCATGCTTTCAAAGCCAGCAGCAGGTTTTGGGGTTCAGGGTGTTAACAACTTACAAAACTTTTACCAATATAAGAAACAAAAACAGCATGTTTACTGATATGCATTTCAAGAAACAGCAAATTAGCTTTTCGGCCCATTTTAAATGAACGACGTTGCCTCTGATTTGCATTCGGATGTTTGAAATGTATTCAAAATAGATTTGCTATGCAGCACGGGGATCCTCCTGGTTTACCATCTATGTGCATGCAGCGCTATACATTAGTGTGTCCAGATAAACAAGACCGAATGAGCGCCTGTTTACTGTCCTCCTCACTCCCTGCACCACTCCCTAATATATTTCACACTGGCTCGGTCCCCAGGTGTGCCGGCAGCCTGCAGCTCCCATGTTAAGACACCATCTAATGGGCTGACTCTCCGGCCCTGCTCCCCCGAGGCCTCCGCCGAGATACTTGGCTGCCTCCAACGCCAACATCTCCTCCTGTATGAGATTATTGATTTCAAACAAGTGAGGCAAGCGGGAGCGAAGGGAAAAAGGGAAATGGGAGATGAGAGCGAGGTGAGAGAACAAGGGTACGGCAATGAAATAGAATAAAAAATGGGCGAGGGGGATGCCAGGAGGACAGCGCAGGAGGAGTGGATTGCATCCGGAGAGACATCAAAGCGCCATAAAATAAGGGAAGAAATATCCTGCAGGGAAACCGTAAGAGGCTAAACTTGTTTTCTGAGTGTTTCTCGCTGTAGTACTCGATTTATCTTCGCTTAGTTTCATGCAGCTGTTGACACATAAATGCCAGCAGTGGGTTTGATGGCTTTCTTTTTAACTCTGAGGACTGACATGTTGGAATAAAACTCACTATGAATTGTTGTCTGAGGTAATTAGAGGGAAAAAAAGGATTCTTCTGCTCTCAGTAAATGAACCATAAATGCGTCTTACTCCAACCCTCGTAGTCAGATACTTCAGGCAACAATCAAGTCTTTATAAACCCATTTTAACGTGATGCACAACAGTCAGCAGTTATGTAAAATACAAGTGTGGTTAACAAATAACAAATTGCATGATGTAAACAGAGCACGCTGAAGAAGACGGCATGTGTGAGAGGATCGTTTGCTTCTGTTTTACAAGAAGTCAGAAGTAACAGAGGTGCAACTATGAGGAAAGAATAGTCGGATAATAGCAGCACTACGGGTTTTAATGACTTGTAATGACTGTGATCTTAATCTGCTGGCAGCTTTTAAAGACATGCTTTCTTTAAATGACTGTCATAGGCAGATTTTCAACTCTCCCACGGTCCTTGAACTACTCGTCTGTCCCATCAGAAAACATAACCAAGCTTAACATCGCTGATATCACACAATAATAAATTTAATCTGTGTGTCTCATTTATACATTTGCAGAAAATTAACCTTTTGCATTAACTTGATTCTATAAAACAATAAATGCAGCATCATTGATTTGCTATGACTTAATCGCCCTGTTGTAAAAATTCTGATAATATTTCGGCTGAACTGCAGCATGGAAACAAGTCTGAAGTAAATAGTAAAATACCCAAAGTGTTTTGAGTCACCATTTCTTCCATTATTGCTAACTTGGAAACATGTTGTATTATTCTCAGGCAAATAATTGTCACATTCCTGCACACTGTAAATACTTTTATTACTTTTTATTACCTATAATTGAAAATAAAACACCATGTTTAACTCATTCTGATTCTGATGCATGTTGATTCCAGTTCTGTAAAAGAAGAAAAGAAGTTTACCTTTTCTTCTTTTTTTTTTTTAATGCTTTATTTCATTTTAATTTTCTTAAACTGAACAGAAGATATCTTTGACTTGCTTCTACTTCTAGCCATTGTTGTGCCATTGCTACAGTAGTGGGGGGAGTACATAGAGAAATAACATAATAATATTAATANGTGATCTTAATCTGCTGGCAGCTTTTAAAGACATGCTTTCTTTAAATGACTATCATAAGCAGATTTTCAACTCTCCCACGGTCCTTGAACTACTCATCTGTCCCATCAGAAAAGCACTCTGACGGGGTGGAAGTGGCCGGAGCACACAGGCAGTGTTTCGCTGCTGATGCTAGTTTAGTTAGTGGTCCCAGTTCTGTTTCCACCATCGATGGTGACAACAGCAGGGGAGTGGCAGATACGCTCCACCGTTACCATCCATGTTTACTTCCGTAAACACTGAGCACGCTCACTGCGTGATGTTGTCGTGTCCTCTTCTGTGCATGCGGGACACTTTTGGGTCGTATGAAGTTCACACAGCAGATCACATACACTGAATTGGAAATGTGAATGACCTCACAGAAAATAATCAGATTTCACAAAAAAATGCGAATTGAGCATCAAGTCCTGCAGTGTGAACGTAGCCAATCTGTGGGATTGTTCAGTCAGATAATACGCCGTTATCCTGATTGGTGACGTAAAGTGTCATGTTGGAGTTGGAATCCAAGACTGTCGGTATGTTAAGGCTGTTTTTAATGTTTTGTTTTTCCTAAAAACCTGTCGGATAGCAAGGTTTTCAGATTGTTAAGGGTCAGATTATCAAGCCATGACTGTATTTTTAAAACCTGCAACAAACAGTTGAACTGGGATGAACTGAAGGCAGTGTTTGATGCCTTTTTTTCAAATTTTTAAAGAATTCAGGCTTTGATTTTTCTATTTTTTTCCCCTGGAACATGGCATTATCACTTTGTTATGCTGCAGAAAAGACATTTCCGAACTCCCTTTACTTCTAGGCATGGTTGTTTCCTTTGAGGTGCAGGACTTTATATTTTAGAGGAAAATGAGGCCACAGTGAGTAAAAATGTGACAGGAGCAAAAACCACTCTGCTTTGTGTTCAGAAGATTAAACGACGCACATTCTTTCATCCCATTAAGTTCTCAGAATCAGTTCTATTTCTAACTAGTTTCAGGAACATAACGTGGTGTTTTGAAATTAATATCAACATACAGAACGAGCGTTACGAGACGAATCAGGAGCGAGTCGAGCGCAGCAAACCACAGATATCATAAAAGTAATAAAAAAGTATGAGAGCGTTAACAGTGTGTGGGAAGGTGCAAATTATTAACCACAAAGCCAACTCACTTGTGTTTGTTTTCCACACTAGAAAGTCACGTGGCTGTCGCCGTGACTCACCGGCATGTGGACGGACCGGTTGGGCCGGACGGACACTAAAGCGGCGGCGACGAGAAGAGCTGCAGAGTGTCACCTTGGAGCGAAGCAAGCGGCTCTGCTCAGAGGCAGACTGGGACACAAAAGTCAAGCGAGTGTAACCTGAAATTAGTTTTCTTTCACACAGAAATTGTCCCCCAGACAGGAGGCCAAAAAGTGCTGAAAGGAAGCATCTTGTGATTGCCCGCCGGCCATTACAGGCAACTGGAGGCTCTGCCAAGCCAGACAAAGAGGCTGGAGGGAAAAACGACAGCTGTCTAACTTTGTTTTTGTGTTGGCTTTTATTGCCGTCATTTCTACTGTTGCTATGACTTCCACGCGTCGGGCAGCGGCGGTCCGGGGTGAGAGTCGGCCGTCGCCACAGCAACCACGTGCTCAAACATGTCTGAGATATCACGGTGAAGCCGATTTCATAAAAGCAGGTATGCGCAAACGAGATCTGGGTCAGAAGCGGGCCGTCGGGATGGATAATGGAGCTTATTGGACGGATCAAAGTTATCCATTTAAACACCTGTTTCCTGTCACATTCTGAGTCAATGTGAGCTCGATTCTCACTGCAACATGAAGCTCTGTGGAAACAGCACAACCATGGCTAGACGGAGAGAGAACTCAAAACATCTGATGTGCATGATACCAATTATAACGGCATGAATCCAAAATGTAGAATTTCTTTGATTGCTCATTTGACAGATAATCGCAAAAACTTGGGATTAACAGGTCGAACATTTTCATAAGTGTTGCTTCAAAAAGAAACGGTGACTTTACATACGACAGATCTTTTATTATTAGTTTAATTTGTCTCCACACAGCCTGCAGTTCAGACCAGCTCCACCGAAAGGTCCACAAAGTTCTGTCACCAGACTGTTGGCTGCAGCTGAGTCACTCATGACTTCATGTTAGCACCAAAAAGTGGAGAATTTTTTGTTTTCTACAGAATCTGGTTGGAAATTTTTTAAATTCTGAGCTGCATATCGCAGATGAGACGTTCAAGGACCATCAGAAAGTTGGACAAAGTCTTTCTGTTTTTACGGTTCCTGGCTTTGTGGTTTTTGGTGAAGACAACACACCTTTATAACCTATCTGTGGATTCTGTTTTGGGTTTTTTGGGCCAATTTTTAAATGAGACATGCAGAATAAAGTGATTTTGATGAGCTATCTGGATGTTAAACTTCGATTAGGAACAGCACATTGCAGAAGAGCAGTTCAAGGACCGTCGGAAAGTTAAAAATCCACCAATTCTTCCAGTTTTTACAGTTCTAGCTTTAACAAATGGTGTCATTTTGGCTATTTTGGTGAAAAACAACAAGTCTTTACTACCTGCTGGTGAATTTTGGGGTTCAGGGGGTGAATTCAAACAAACAAAAAACAAAAGACATGTGGCTTATCCCCACAAAATTGCACATCAGCTGCTTTTTAAATAATAAAACCCAACAGAATACAGAGCGATGTTTCTAATTCTGGCCAAAGTGTTGCCTGGTTCTACTGGTATTGGGTCAGAGGCAAGTTTGGCATCTACATCAGTTTAAACGGTTGGTATTGGACTGCAAATGTTCACCACATCACTTGTGGATCAGTTAATCCCTTCTTTGGAGAAATGCTGGTCACACCTGAGTCGGTCGTGGATTCTCGGTTGCACCAAGAGGATCTTTATTAAACGAGGCATATAGAATTAAGGATATTTGATGTACTATTATATTTTTAAGCTTAGACTTCTGTTAATTTTACAGATTAAACAGTATACCATAGATGGGTAGTTCACAGACCAAAGGAAAGGTGAAAACGCAAAGATTTTTACTCTTTTTACAGCTTTTTTCTGTGACAAAGGGTGTATTTTTTGGCGATTTTTAAAGGATGACAAGACCGACAGCAGGTTTTAGGGTTCAGAGGATTAATTGTGACGATCTCTTATAAAAGACAAACAAAAAAATCCCTGTGATGCCATTCAGCAGCTATTATTGTTTCCCAGCAAAGACCAGGCTATCACACTGTTGTTTCTAATTACTGTTATGGTAATCACTGCTATTAATGGAGAGGGGGGGAGAAAGCAAGGGTGGACATATTTAATTTCTAAATGAACAACAGGCCGTTTCTGGAGAAATGCAGCTATTAGAGCCGATGATAAACACACTCATTGTAATGGCCAGATTACTGTTATGTGGCTGAAACGAGGCTAATGGGAGGTAATGACAAGGACGGCAATCACGCAAAACACTCAGCGAAATGGGCCCAAAAGAGGGGAAGAGGGAACAGAAATACACATTTCTGGCGTCAAGCACTCACGTGTTTGGACAGGTTGGCGCTCTTGGAGTCGACATCGTACCTGTGGAATAACAGAAAGAAAAAAAAAAGAGAGAGAGAGAGAGCAAGAGTCAGTGCATTAGAAAGTGATGGAGGGTGGCAGGAGCTCAGCTGGGAACACAACAGGGATTACAGACGGGCTAAATCAATAACGGGGCCAAGCAGCTTGTCACCGACCATCTCCCCAGAGGCTTCGGGTGTTTCGCCGCCCAGCGTCGCCGGCTCGCAGGCATCCTCCATTAAACTGACACTAAACGGACTAATTGGCAGTGTCACATATGACGGCGAGAGCATGCGACAGAGGCAAAGAGAAAAAACTGATATCGACATGCACAG